CTGGGGCGTCGAGGAACTCGGAGCAGTTGCTCCAGTGCGGGACGTGGTGGGGAGGGCGGCAGGGGAGCCAGGCCAGCCCCTGCTCACCGCGTTCAAAATATAATAAGGATGTATTCGTAGTCTCTTGGAGAGCTCTTTTAGTAAAGAGCCACCCGGGGAGCCTGCGCCCTGGCTTTGTCCCGCCAGCGAATGACAAGAAAAAGAAATAGCGCCGTATGCTTTCGAGATGCATCCTTTTGCTGAATGTTACTGGTGTCGCTGGCAGTGGGGTGGGGGGGCCTGGGAGTCTATCCTGATCTAGCATTGACATCCTCCAGTTTTGAAGCGACCCAGGCACTTAACTCCCAGTTTCAGAAATGCTTGGGCACCCACCGCACAAGGGGTCCCGGCATAAGGAGTCACTGCAGGAGCAGATTTCCTTCACGTTTGAAGTCGTTAGGGCAAGGTGCAGCCCTGGCCTTCTGAGATCAACCTTTACAAAGCAAATGCTTCCCAGCTCTGTCTGAAAAGCATGTTAGAAACCTCTGAGAGCCTCCCTCGTCCTTTCGGGTGACTCAAGTACAACCTGAAGGGTCCCAGCACCTGTTTTGTCCTCAGATGCGTAAGCACAGACCAGTGTCTGCCACCCTGGCAAGACATAGCGGGGCCGACAGGATTTGCTGAGGCTCCCCGTTGCTTTGCTTTTCCACACGGGTCAGCGCGAGGCTGAAAACACTGGGGTCCCTTGGAGGTCTGTGGGTTTGTAACGGGTCATAAGAGAAGCGAGGTGGCTGGTGGGCTCCCCTGACTGTTGCCAGCTGCGGTTCAGGGGAGCTGACCAACGTGCTTCAGCCCTGGGAGGCCTCTGAGTGTCCTTGCTTCTTCCTCTCCCTCAGGGTGATGCAGACTCACGTCCCTCAAGCTTTCCTGCCACAGCAGAGTCCCCTATGTCACAGTCCGCTAGGCTCACTCACCCCTGCCGGGATGGAGGCCTTGATGACAGCCCAGGCGGCCTCGGCCAGCACCCGCTTGGTCCAGGTGGAGACTGTACTGAGAGACAACGAAAAACTGCTGCGGGAAAATGAGAAGCTCCAAAGGGAAAGTGATAAGCTACGGCAGGAGCTGGAGGGATATGTTGAGAAAGCGAGCCGGATCCAGAAGGTAAACGAGCAGAGTGGCAGCAGCTGTTGGCTGGTGCAGGAGCTCAGTGCAGGGCATGCAAGATAGCTTGGAGCACCTGGTGGGGTGGGAGTGCCAGGTGCTGCACGTTTGTGTTGCATCTCGCCTTTCATCCAGGGAGCTTCTTAGAGGGGGTGAAGGCGTTTTCACTTTGGAGAGCAGGCTGCAATAACCTGGCCTGACTGGCAGTTGTTTAGGATAGGCATGGTGTAAGAGTGCCATCGCTTTCTGCTAGTGCTGAACAAGGAGCTCCCTAGAAAAGCTGGTGTGCCTGAAGGGACGTTTTCTCAAGGGAATTTAAGGAATTGAGGCACATATGTTGTATGTCAGGCTTGTTGGGCCTGGGCTGTCTTGACATAGACAGAGTTTCACAGTCTGGGGTATTGGAGCATAGGTGAGAGAGTGGGAGGAAAAGACATTTCCACCAAAGCAGATCTGGCAGGGCCAGCGAACGTTCTGCTTTTTACCCAGGGCTCTCCTCTCAAGGTTCATCCCTTTCAGAGGAGGGAAATGGGGCTGCATGACCTCCTGCCCAACTTGCTGCAAGCTCTGGGCGGATTGGGTTTGCGTTCCCTACCCCAAGAGCCTTTCTGGAAGCCTTGCTGGGTTAGAGTGGGCTCCTTTCCCCATCCTGCACTGAGCGTGGTGGCCTTGCTCTGCTGAGGAACGCGCCTGCCTAAGATGAGGCCCTGGCTTTGTCTCCTGGTTTCAGGAAGGCTTCTGCGCTTCCTTTCTTCTTGTCTGGAGGAGGATCAAACAGCTGTTGCGAAAATTCACCCCCTTTAGTTTTTTAATCTCTCCCCCTCCGTCCGGTGACTTTTTCTCCCCCCACCCCTCCAAACAGCTGTGATTCAACAGCATGCACAACAAGTCCTCAGCCAAGCTGCTGTTAAGTCAGGGGGGAAAAAGAGCCCATTCTCCGTCTCTGGTAACAGTTGGGCCCTCTCTCTCTGCTTGTCCCTCCCGCCCCGGGTCTGTGCCTGGCCGCCACAGAAAGTCCTTTGTGCAGATGCACACAAGGGGAGGCCTGTTCCCCGCCAGTCACACAGAACAAATGGGCCATTGGAGGCCTCCTGGCAAGGAGAGAGGCTGTGCCATGGAGGCTGGAGCATGTGCCAGCCCTGGGGGGTGAACAGTGGCATGGGAGAGCCAAAGCCCGCTAGCCAGGAGTGCAGAGGAGAGCGTGGCTGCAGTATGATAAAGAGGCGAGTGGGATGAACTCGGCCATGGTGAGGGAGAAGACTCCCTGTGAGCCTGCAAGGTTAAAGGCAGGAAGACTTGAGTTTTGCCTCTTGATCAGCAACGTGTTGCTAAGGTCAGGCTGTGGCAGGAGTTTGCAGCAGCCCTGGTTGGGGCGTGGAGTGCTGTGATCCTGGCTGTTAGGAGCCCCTTGGAGAAGTGCAGTTATTTTGGCAAAAATGTACCCGTACCGGTTGAGCTGGTCTGGCTGGAGCAGCGTTGGTGTGCGCCCTGGACAAGCACAGCCTTGCGGATCAGGCCAGGGGCACCCTGCTGGGATGACAACCCATGGCTCTCCATGCAGAAAGCTCCCCTTCCCTTCCAGCCCCGCCACTGAGCTGGGTACCGGGATTCTCCCGGGAAGCCTCCCTGACCCACCTCCGCCCCACCGAGAGCCACCACAGGCAGGCGAGCGCTCCAGCTAGAGCTAGCCTTGGAGTGGCTTTTCTGGGGTTGATGGGAGCCTGTGGGGATGGAGCGGACACTGACTCAGCCAGGCCCCAATTCTCTAAGCACCGGGATGTGGCTTAAAACAAAAGGCAGGTACCAAATGGAGGGGCAGGGGAAGATGAATGATTTTTAGAAGCTATGAAGCAATCTGGAGAAGGCTCTGCCAGCTCCAGTTCACATAAGGTGAAAGGAAAGGGGTTGGAGGTGTTTTATTGACACGCATGTAATAATTATGGGCAAAGCTTGGGCCAGGTGGCAAGTGCAGGCAGGCTTCCCTCACACACTGGATTTCTGCTGCCCTGCACCTCTGTCATGACCTGCAAACCTTCTACCATCCCTGTCCCCATTGTGGGCAAGGGGCTGGTTTCTGGTGCGGGATGTGAGCTCGGGTCGATGGAGGTGAAAGACAAGATTACTGACCTCTGGGGTCCTGTGGATTTGCAATGCTCCTTTGGCAGCCCAGGTCAAGTTGAGAAATCTGGGTGATCTTTAGCCAACGTCTCCCTTTCTTTTCCTCATTCCAAGAATATCTAACCTCAGTCTGTCATTTCCTCCTCCCTCAGCTGGAAACGGAGATTCAGCGCATTTCAGAGGATTATGAAAACCTCATGAAGGCATCTTCCAAGCGGGAAGCGTTGGAGAAAGCCATGAGGAGCAAGAGAGATGGGGAGATGCGTCGGCTCCAGGATTTCAACCGGGACCTGAAAGGTGAGGGGCTGTGGGCAGTGCTAGACAGGAGGAACATCTCTCAGCTCTGCTGTTTCCAGTGAGAAAGGATAATGATTATAATTGCACTGTGATCTGGACTGGGGTGGTGCAGCTCCCTCCACATGCCAGGCAAATGCCTGCCCTTCTTCAGGAGGTCAGTCTCTGCCCAGTGAGAGCATCTGGGTGCGTGTGGCCAGGTTGCCTCTGTCCCTCTCCTCCGTGTGAGCCCTCAGCCAGGACAGTTTAATCCCTCCATCTGGCTGGTGACACCTCTCTGCTCCTCTATCTCAGTGGGTGCTCTCCACCCCTTGGCATTTCCCCACCTCTTCTGTTTTGAGCTAGTTTTATTAGGCTGGTTATTTTCACTGGGAGCCAGGCTGCTCCCAGTTAATTCAACTGAATTTATATTTAACTGTAAGTGGTTTTAATTGCATTTGGACCAGAACGGTTGGAATCTGCAAACAAGCAGCTGGCCAGCAAGACCCAGGAAAACCAGGAGAATAATCAAGGCACAGTGGCGAAACTCCTTGCACAAAGTAAGTCCCCCGCTGACCGCTCAGCATTGCTGAAGTGTGAGTATGGAGTTGCCTGCTTATCTCTGCCTTGATCCCCATCTCACGTACCCCGTGGCGCCTTCGTGCTGCGTTTCTGTGCTGCAGATAAGAGTGTTCAGGCCTGTTCTTGTGGCGGTGGGGCAAGGTACAGTCCCTTTAAGCTTGAGGAGGAGGCGGATCCCGGGTGGAAGCTTTTGCCATTCCCCAGGGAGAATTAAGCTGTTCTTGGCACTGGACGCGAGCCATTAATCCCGGCCCAGCGGTGTGACCTGCATTCTCCGCATTCCAGCCACTGCTCTGGCTCTTCCAGCACAAAGTCCACACTCCCTCCCCTCTCCAGCCCAGCCCTCGTGCTATTCCTTTTCCTTACACCTTGCAACTACACCGGGTTGGGCTTTTAAGGGAAAAATATATCTAAATCCTTCTCGTTGTTTCTGCCAAAGGCTGGGAACACCTCCGATAGTCTCTTACGTCTGTTCCCTATCTAGCCACTGTTGATTTAGTTTGGAGGCCGGCTTAGGCACGCTTTTCAGCAGAAAGGCCCAGCGTTAGTGTTATCTGCAAGGAATTGCATCCCCTTCCCTAAGGTGGCTAGACTCAAATCAGGACAGCTTTTTCCCCTCACGTACGCAAGGCCCGGCCCGAGTCAAAGGCTGGACTAAAATGTGCCAAACCAAGGCTCTTTCTGTTGTGCCTCCCCATGCTCCTGGGAAGCCATCTGGCCCTGACGTGGCTTGGCTGCTGGGGGAGAGGTGGCCACATCAAGCAGGCAGGCTGGGCCGTACCTGTTTACAGGAGCAAAACGCCTTGGAAATGCAGGGCGCTGCTCCCATGGGTAGGAGAGAAGCTGTTGGAGCTTGCTGCTGAGTAACAGCTACCTCGTGTGGGAGGTAGAGCCCTGCTCTGCGGTAGCAGCTTCCACTACTCGTTGCAGAGAGCTGCCTATCAGTATGTTACAGGCAGGAAAAGCAAAGCCCAGCCAGGCAGCATGGCTTCCCGGAGTGGGGCAGAGGAGTGATAATCCCTGGTCCACACTCGCCACTAGTCTCACCCTGCGCGCTCAGAAACATCTGCCTGGGGGGGACAGGGAAAGCAGATCTGGGGCTTGACAGCTTTGACCTTGGCTCCCAGCTCCCACAGTGAGCTCGCCCTGCATTTCAATACGGTGGGGAGGGGGTTTTCAGAGCTTCTGTCCTTCGTCAGCCCTGTGGCTGCCTGGGCAGGCAGGGGCCCAGGAGAGCTCTGTACCGGGGCCCAGGCTGGATTGCTTGGTTAACACAGAGGGTGCCTTTGGCAGGCTATGAGCACCAGCAGGAGAAGGAGAAGCTGGAGCGGGAAGTCTCCCTGCTGCGCAGCGCTAACGAGGACCAGCGGCGACGGGCAGAGCTGCTGGAGCAGGCGCTGGGCAGCGCCCAGGCCCGGGCGGCCAAGGCCGAGGCCGGGCGT